GGGGGGGAAGACGATAGGAATATCAGTACTTAGTGTCTTAGTGGTCGGAGTCATATGCGATTAGTGCAGCTTCTGGCGCAGCTCAACCGAAACAGCCTTTCGTGGAGATCTTGGCGGTAATGGCAAATATTCCAACGAGAACTTTGCAGGGCTGTGTTGGAGAGGTCCTGAACAGTAGACCCTGAACCTGACTACCTTTTATATAATATAGAAGCCTAAATAATTACCAATAGTATTTTGAGGGTGGGTTCCGTATTATAGTTATATATAATGGGCCCCAAGACCCGATTCTGATTATTAAGGCCCCTTTACTACCCTTTATAATTAAGCGTATTTAGGCTCTGATCAGACCAAACAGCTGAGCTGCCGAGGTTTGGATCACTCGATCATGGTCTGGAACTGCTATGCCTAGGCTGGACGGCCTTGCTTTTTAAAACTTGAGATCTACATTGACTTCAGATCTACAGTCAGGGCCTATGATACAGTTCATAGGGCCTGAGTGTGTTGAATGTTTCCGATGTCTCAAGAACTTCTGTCAAGAACGAAATGCAGGTCCTGCCGCGAGTCTCGCTCCTTTGTACAGTGTAGTACGGTTGATGATATAAATCCTGCTTTACCCATAATATGTTATATACCATGATTCCTATAGTTTAGGGTCCCTAAGAGGTCATGCAGGATTTCTATCATCAACCTTAAATTCTGAACCCCTAATCCCTAAACCCTAGACCCCTAAACCCCTAAACCCCTAACCCCTAAACCCCTAAACCCCTAAACCCCTAAACCCCTAAACTAAACCCCTAACCCTAAACCCTAAACCCTAAACCCGGGTTTCTATCATCAACAGTATGATTATGGAGCGTACTCGGTACCGTAGAGCCGTACACCGTCGAATCAGGATCGTTTTCGGGTTTAGCGTTTAGGGTTTAGGGGTTCAAGGTTTAGGGGTTCAAGGTTTAGGGGTTCGGGTTTAGGTTTCAGGGTTTAGGGTTTAGGGGTTAGAGTGTAGGGTTTAGGGGTTGGGGTTCAGGGGTTAGATTAGATCGCTTCGGTTGTTTTAAGGCCCCTTCCAGCCTTTGGGACGCCATGCAAGGAGTTTTTCGGTTTAGGGTTTAGGGTTTAGCCTTCAAAGCCCTCGAACATCTGCAGCCACCTTGGCAGCGCACCTCAAGATTAATACAAAAACAGGGCCTTTGTCAACACTGGTCTTGGAAGGTTTAGAGTTGAGGTTGCCATAGGGTACCCTACTGTCTCGGGTTCAGAATTTGGTAAATTCAATTTTCGGGCTGCGGGCTCCGAGCCCTAATTCTCTTCGCAGCTGACCTTGGACCCTGAACTCTGAAATCGTAAGGGTTGCAATGTTGAGGTTTTTGACGATTCCTGGGCCAGTTTGGGGAAGCCTCTGACTTAAGAGACCTCCATAGGGGGTTTAGGGGTTAGGGTGTAGGGGTTTAGGGTTTACAACCCTAAACCCTAAACCCCTAAACCCTAAACCCTAAACCCCTAAGCCCCTCAACCCTGAACCCCTAAACCCTCAACCCTACGGTTGAGGCCCATGTGTGCTCTTCCTTGGCAGGCCAGCGAAAGTTTCACCCTGCGAGGTTCTCTACAATCTGAGAGCATGTCCGGCACGAGTGAGGCTTGCGGTTTACGGTTTAGGGTTTAGAGTTCAGGTTTAGGGTTTAGGGTTCAGGGGTCAGGGTTTAGGGTTAGGGTTTAGGGTTTGGAGTTCGGGGTTCAGGGTTTAGGGTTCAGGATTTGGTGTTTAGGGGGCTGTATGTTGAGCACACCAAGTTTAGTTCATCCTCCCAGTATCGTTAAGGCTGCGATCGCTCATTCTTAGCAACAAAGCCCCTGTCCCCCTTATAAGCCCATACAGAAACCCTAAACCCTAAACCCTAAACCCTAAACCCTAAACCCTAAACCCATACAGAATCCTTCAAAATTATTCACATTCGGACCCAGAGCTTTTTAGAGCCGTGCCTTCTGTGCCAAATGGCTCCAGCAAAACGCTGTGGCCCTGTGCAAGTGGATGTCGCTGGCAGTCCGCCAAGACCAAAAAGGAGTCTAAATTCACTTCCTCGACGTGTGTACTTCTATTCTAAATCTCTCGGGCCCACGTACGCTCAGACCTTGAGTCTAGCCAACAACCCTCCTGGGACGTGCTCAAGTTTCAACTTGTCGAGAGTCTGGACTATGCACGGTTTAGGTTTCCGGGTTTAGGCTTCAATGGGTTTGTTGTGAGGCCTTTAGCAACAAAGCAGTTGAAAGGTAAACAACTTCTATTGGTTTCCCCTGCCAAACCCCACGCAGGATGTTCTGGCCGATGGCCAAACGCAAGCAATCGTTCCACACGAGGCAGGGCCAGCCCCGTTTGGCATTCTTGCAGAAAACGCTCTAAGCGATCTAGAACCCTGAACCCAGAACCCTTAGGGAAATCGATCTGCAGGTCGAGCCGGGAGCTACGCAGACTGACACCCAGGACTTGGAGCGGAGTAGGGTGGTTTAGGGGTTGGGG